GTCCACCAATAAATCACAAAGGAAGGGGTGAGTTTTGGAGGGTGCTGAGCACATTATTGGCGGGTACTTCCTTGACCCGCGCTTCCTTCGTCCTTCCGGTGTTCTTATGGTTATGGTCATATTTCATAATTATTGGTTACAGTTATTTTGTTTCTGATATGAGTGTTGAATGCAATTAACATGTAATTACTGGGGTATACTAATTGTAATAATTTGTTATATCGGAACCTTGGTAAGATAAAAATGATTTTTAAGACATATCACTTATACTAATGTTTACAAAAACGTTAAAAATATGAAGGTATAAGTGTTATTGATTTCATATTTGAAATATTTTTTTACCGAAGAATTATGTTTTAAAATTATGAGTCCTACCTTTTTTAAATACAACTTTACCCACAATTTAATGATTTGTCAGTAGTTACTAACCATTTTTATTAATTTTAATACATGCGTGACAAGTTTAAGTTTGGTTTTTTTGCTTATTATATTTATAATTTAGTTACAATACTCCCTTTATAATGTAAATGAAGTATACATGCAATTACAGGATTAAGTATTAATTAGTCTTATTTGTATTCTCACGGCATCCTGGGGCTAAAAAAGTTATTTATAAAGCTGGGTTTTCCTAGACGCGGAGTCGGCCAGCGGAGAGCGGACAGCGGAGAGCGGAATTGAAATTAACATGGCATTCCGCTCCGCTGCTAGGAAAACAGTAACATTAAATTACCTAAGACAAGCTGAGTCCGCTCTCCGTTGTCCGCTCTCCGCTGACCGACTCCGCGTCTAGGAAAACCCAGCTTTAGATTGGTTGGGTAAATGTATGTGTTAAGATATAATTTTTTACTGCTTTAGGAACTATTTTTGAACAAAGAAAACTAACTGTTATGTAACAGTTGGTTTTCTTTCCTACGTGAGACCTAACTAGGATCCCGTATGAGTCTATTATAATTCCTGTAGTAACGTGATTTTTTAAATTTCTTTAAAGATTAAATAGTTTGGTGGTGTTGCCAGCCTTTTTAAGTCCCGTTTGTCCCATGAGGACCAATTTAAAAATATTTGGTATTATTAACACATATCTATATGGCTATTTATATGTGGTAGATATGCCAAAATTGCACTAATACAAATATAGCTTACGTATGCGCAAATAACTGGTCCATGGAATATGATTTGACCTCAAAGCATATTAACAGTCGGATGTTATTGGAAGAAACCTAGTTTCAAACGTCAGCTTAAAAAGTTCAAAAAAGATAATAATTTGAGTTTTTGTAGCATTGCATGGGTTACTTAAAGTCCTTTCAATGATATATAGATGTAATTACGAATTATTTATATTATACTATTAGCCTTATATTATACATCGACTTCATAAAGTAGCGAAAAACAAATACATTCATTTAGCTTTAATACATTAACTACAAATTCCTTTTTTTAACTAGTGCGTGCTCAAAAATATAGCTTTTAAAAATAAATCAAAATCACTTTATTCCTGAAAGACACAAATAAAAAATGCTTACAATATTTTACATGTAAAAACCAATTCCTAAAAAGTCTCCATGCCTGTGTTTGGGAATGTGCCGTTATCATCAGTCTACTGTGTGTACACTTTTGCTGGTGGTCATAATTAAAAGTAAAACCGTATGTTGGTAAAAGAAGACCATAACCATACTAATGACTAATGAGTTGCACGATAACCACACCAAAAAATCTAATATAAACTAAAATGTTTAAGTTGTACTAAACAAAAAATTCAAACTATAAATGATTCGGTTAAATCGTTTTTTCCACAAAAATTTAATTTAAAACCCTACTGAATTTACAAAAATATTTTGATTCCAACCCTTGCTTCAAGAGAAGTTTTACTGAGCCCATGACCCATAAAGGCCTGAGAACTTGGATTTTCGTAATGGCCAACCCGATCGTAAAGAAAGGGACGTTTCGGACTACCCTATTTTATTGCCCAGCTATAATTAAAGGCCCAAAACCCTAAAGGACAGTAAGCCTGGTGGACAAAAGCGTAAGACCCTCACCCGTTATATAGGTGTCCGTGCTAGTGGGCCGCCGTAGCGCATATGTCGGGACCACTTTATAACGCAACTTATGCATGAAAAACTTCATGAGAAAATCACTGGGTCTAGTCGTTACGATATTCTTTCGGATTAGTACGGATAGATCAATGACATAGCAAAGTCGCGGGTTTGATTCTCGATGTATTCTTAATTAAGTGGGTGCAACAATTAATATAAATTTAAAAATGGCTTTGTAAAGAATAAGTTACATTTTTTATGAACATTTTTTAGGAACATTTTTGTATTGTTTGCATAAGTAAAAGTGATGAGAATAAAGACATTTTGTGGATGTAGTAACACTGATTAGATTCGTTGTGATATACCTAGCATGGATAAGTATGTGCATGGCTTTAAATGAAGTAGTTTAGCCAAGAACCTTAATATGGTTTTTAAAATGTTGTTATCATTATGTATGTGCATTGAAAAAAGGTAAATTTACTTTTCATGTTATAGCAGTTTAGTTTGGAGTTTTCCGTACTTAAATTTAAACTTGCATTTACCACTTTTTTTTTTTACTGATTCCCCATGGTCACAATAGAATGTATTGTGGAATGTACGTATTTCGTTTGAGGAAAGTAAAATTTTTTAGTTTTTTCATAAAAATTTAGATATAATTAATTGCAACAAAATGTAAAGTTACAGATAGTCTGACTAATTTATGGACTTTATAGTTAAGTGTTATTAATTATTCAACTCAACATGTATATTGTAGTTAAGCCCAGTGAACGGAGGACGAGCCTTTTTACTTCTACGTAACGTTTCTAATTCGTTACATAATGAATTGGATCTACTCCTCTTTAGTCTCAATGATTCTTGAGACTGAGCAGAAAAAGCACTTCCTCGTTGAGGTTCGTTGGAGGCGGAGTTTTTGTGTTTAAACCATTGTAGTCCCAAGTATTTGGGACTTCCTCTATGTGTCTGTTAACGAAAACTGTTAGAAAAGAAAACATGTCCGTTTGAAGGCCGAATCGCCATAAAACTGTCATAATGCTATAATGTCATAATGTTATAATTGTATTATGACAACCTTAAATTATCGACAGATTTCTCGTCTATGGTTCAAAGTCAAAACTTAGTGTATTATGGATCAAACCGATAACCCCTTCTAAATAATTAATATAGTACCCTCTTTATATAAGATAGTGTTAAAAAAATTTTAGTAGATGAGGGAAAACAGACACTTTACATCATTTTATTTTTTACTGATAAGACATTAATGCAATCTGCATAGAATAAGGGAAGGGTTTAAAACAAACTTTTTTAACCCCTGTATGAGGAGGAAATATTTGGTATTTGTTTACGTCAATAGAATAAAACTATTGAACATTCCAGTAAAATGTATCTTTGAATAACTCTCCAAAAGACTGTCTTGCTTATGTTTACACATAATGAGAAGGTAAATAATTATACATTAAAAAAATATAAACAAACTGTAATGAAAACTTAAATAACGTTCAAATCAAAAATCAAGTAATTGAGACATGAAATTACGGAGTTAAAATAGGGAACAAATCCACTATCTTAACAACAATAAACGGTTTCCGCAATCTGACACATGCTTCCTCTCATTAGCTTGTCAACAACCCTCAAAAGCGGTATGAGTAACCTTAATTAATGGGGGAAATCACAACAGTTGCAATAGCTTCTAAACCATCGTTTTACAGCATTAAGGGCTGTACTATATTGTGTTCAGTTAAAAGAGAACATACTATAATTTAATCAAAATCATTTAAGCCTTATAAATGCAAAAGTCCTATATTTTCATTATTTTATTGGTTATTAACAACACTTGCTCTATGTACAATGTATATGGGGAGAAAGTAAAATGAGTCTTTTGCAAATAAGTGGAAATTTTGATTTATAATGTATATTTTCCCAGAAAAAACCCATAAAATAACGGGAAAATAGGATTTTAGAAAAAACCGGTTTTCATTTAACTTGGTATGTTATGTACCTTAAAATTTTGAATTTGTTTTTCACTTTTTTTGAAATTTTAATTTTTAATGGGGATTTTCCCATAAAACCCCATAAAATAACGAAAAAATTGAATTTTCTCAAAAACGGCACTAATGATTTTGATAAAAATTTATTATGTTATAGTCCTTTAAATTCTGAACAAAATACTGTAGTACAAATCCCATTTTGTGAAAATTACGGTTCAAAAGTTATTGTAAACTATCTTATTTTCCCATTAAAAACCATGAAACAACAAAAAAATTAGGATTTTTGGAGAAAAGGTTGTTTTTGATCAAAATGAATATGTTATTGTCCTTATAATTCTAAAATAAAAACATAGTACAGCACCCCATTGCTGTAACAATTATGGCTCAAAAGTCATATCATATTTACTCTCACCGCGTATCCATGATAAAGGTTGTTGACAAGCTTATGGGAGAAAGTATGTGTCAGAATGCTGATACCGTTTATTTAGGGCTTGTATACGATATTAAGACTCTACTCAGATTTTTTTGTTGCAGACTCAGCATATGATTATAAACTTTAAAAACAAAAAGCAATTATCAGTGACTATTCAAATAATCAGAGTACAGTAGAACCTCTATAACAAGACATTCATGGGAATTATTAAATAAGACTTGTTACCAAGGTTGACTTCTTATCGAGGTTTGCAATAACATGTGATTAGGGGTGTAAAATCAAGGGTATTTGAAAATGACACTTGTTATCAAGGCTGACTTGACGTCGAGGCTCTTGTTATCGAGGTCCCACTGTATTGTCATAGAGCAAGAACTAATCACAGCTATAATCCAATTTCCGGGCGAGGATGAGTTGTGGAAATGTTAGCAGCTCCACTGGCTGGGGGAGGGGAGGGGTGAGGTTAGGCTAAGTGAACCATGTAACTGTGGTCTCTGGGCCGTTTATATAAACCACATCTACAGACAACTAGGCACATACAACTGTGGTAGTGCAATGATCTCACACTTGACCAGGGTAAGTTCTCTTCTGGTTGTTTAAAACTATAATTTTTATCACAGCTTTGTAAAATCAAACTTTTACTTTCCGATGGATCTATTACCTTCGTTTTATACGGATCGTTTATGCTACTAGATTCTGTGTGTCAATGTTTAAGGGATAAAAATGAATATTTTAATAACACGTGTTTGAAATAAATCTTAATTGGTGTTGATCTAAATCATTGAAAACTCTGACTGATCACGGGTTTTGGCAGTTAATCATTTAAAGCAATAAACATGATTCATTTATTGACTAATTTTATTTAAATTTTCAAAAAGAATAATTAAACCATGCTATTATTCTTTCTTAAATGTTCTTTCTGTTAAATAAGTTATATTCACACTTAAACACTATGTTATTGCTAAAGCTATTCAAAAAATATTATTATTATTCTACGATCTGAAAGAATGTTTTGTAGTGTTCTTTGCATTTTTATGTTCAAATTAAATCAACAATGTGTTACTAATCACGACCAACTCACCTCAACAGGTTATTGACCATTAGTGCATTAGAGTTTATGGTCTGTTAGTGACACATTCTTGGGTATAATTATTAATTATGTACAAAATAAAAGCTACATTTTAATTTTAATTTCAGTACTATTATAGGCATTAAATGAATCTGATTAGTGTAATTTGATTCCATTTCTTACCTCTGATTCTAGATATTCGTCCTATTGGCGTTTGCAGCCTGGGCACATGGATCTCAAAAACAGTCCCCATCAGAACCTTTGCAAAGGAGGGTTCCGAAACAAATCCACACAAAAGGTAATAGGATAACAATTGCCAAGCATTTGGCTCTCATTCGAAGTACTTACCATCCATTCTTGCTATAGGGCTGCAACACCGGTTTTAATACAAGAAAAATACGTTCGTGATCCTTTTGTCCCTAGGTTAAAGGATGTGATAATTTATTTATGTGATATAAGGATGTGTGATAATTATGTTAAAGGGGTTTGTCCCTAGGCTAGTCTTCTTTTACAATCTTTATAATTATTTCTATAACATTTACTAGTCCAGATATAGAGTCAGTGTAAACACACACATTCTAAATTCTACTACTTCGAGCACCTAATATTTCCCTAATAACATAAGCCCTTTAAAACAATTTAAATAAAGCTTGGTTTTTTTCTTTACTATGACAGTATATTAACCAATTATACATCTTATTAAAACAAACGAATGTAAGAGGTATGTGAGCCAAGGCTTCAAACTGTTTCTTATCACCTTGTACAGTCAACAATATATTTATTAATATTTAATAATCACTTAGTATCTACTTTTATAACTTTCAAGCACTTTAAAATTTAAAAACAATACTGTATGATCCATTGATTTTTTATTACGTTAACTTCTTAAGAGGTTAAATTTTTTTGTTGATCCTGTACGATTATAGCTCCTCATTTTTTTAGTTGAAAGCTTAGTCTTTATTTTACAGCGTGTAAAAAATTTGTAGCCACTACGGAAGAAAGAGTTTTGAGATCTCTCAGCTTTTACGTTTACTTAAATTCATATCTTCATTCCAAGCTTTCAACATGATCTTGAGTCGATAAAAAAGACTATCTTTTAGTCCTTATTCAAAGTGACCTGAGTTCATAATTTTCCGCAGGACTATAGTTGTTTGGGCTTACTTATCATACCCCCCAAACATTGTGTAGATCTAATGGTTACTGGTCACAAAACACCCTATTTTATCAGTTTTGTTTATTCATTTCTGTTTTAATTCCAGCCGCCGTGGTAGAAACTGAAGAGGACCACAATCCCGCTGAGAGTCATTTTGGTGCGGAGGCTGCTCATCATGGACACGGCAAATACTTCATGTGAGGCTAAATACACCTAAACAGTTATGGCAATTGCATTGTTCATTACTATTACTAAAAGTGGATTTTTTTCGGTAGGCACTCAAATTTTACATAGAGTATTAATTGGAGCTAAATATCTAAAGGGCACTTTCGGTATAAGTGATGAACAATACATCTCTTCTTGATAAAAAAAAACCCAAACGCAACAATAATAGTCATGTAATTAAAACAAGTAAAATAAAAACCATTATATAGTATTTTCCAAACACCCCACAGATAGATAAGCTAAATTAAAAAATAAACGGTATCAGCATTCTGACATACTTTCTCCCATAAGTTTGTCAAAAACCTTTATCATGTGTAAGTGGTGAAAGTAAATAGCTGTATACGCAAATGAGATTTGTACAATTTTGTTCAGAACTAGCTGTGTACCCGTTCTACGCACGGGGATCTTATAATATTCAGTTGAAACCTTCTTATATAAAGAACAGCAGTTGGTTTGCATATTTTAAGATATGCTGGCCAAACTATTATACATAGCTTCATTTTATGTTGTTTTTTGTTGTTCCGGATCGGTATGACAATCAATAAAAGGTTAAATTACCTCTGTGTCTGCCGGTCGATCCTATAACGGTAGGCTTACTTTTATTTTTACTATCTGATCTCGTTTGCATGGCTCAATCACGTCCTGGTTGAAGTTCGTTCGCTACGCTCACTCACCTGTATGTTGGAGCTCGTTCGCTGCGCTCACTTTCCTTCAGGTTAGCTCGTTCGCTACGCTCACTTGCCTTCAGGTTAGCTCGTTCGCTACGCTCACTCGCCTCCAGGTTGCAAATTAGCTGTTGTCATAAATGTAAAAGAAATAATAGTGCTAGTGCTGCACCCTGTTGGTAATCCTTGTAACTTTAATGCTATTGAACATCACAGAACAGAACCAACTTGTTTAATTGAAACAGCTGTTAAGATTCAATAATTTCATTTCTCATAAGGTTAACATGGGCTTCCAGAAATTCCACGTCAAAAATCGACAAAAACTTGATTTTCAAGGGTTTACTGTTAAATATCTAACTGTCTCATATTCGATGAAATACGTCTAAAACCATCTCATATATGTATAGTATTTGGAAAATAAGTTTCAGGCGGGACAGTGCTATAGTTATTGAGGAGTAGTTGTAATAAAGTGCGTATTTTAGCGTTACCAAGAGAATGACAGATAGACAGACAGACAGACAGACAGACAGACAGACAGAAATTGAGATAAGGTTTGATTCGGTTTCTCTGACCTATGAAATGTAAAAATAACCAAAAAGTTCATTATTCTAAGCAATGTACAGACAAAACTCTAATTTTATTTATATAGATTTAAAGGATTATTACATGCTAAATTTTTATCAAAATCGTTCGGGCCATTTTTGGGAAAATCCGATTTTCCTGTTATTTTATGGGGGTTTTATGGTAAAATGACATAATTTACAATAACTTTTGAACCGTAATTTTTACAGAAATAGGATTTGTACCATTTTGTTTAGAATATAAAGGGCTATAACATACTAAATTTTTATCAAAATCGTTCGGGCCATTTTTGGGAAAATCATATTTTTTCGTTATTATATGGGGTTTTATGGGAAAATCCCCATTAAAAATGAACATTTCTAAAAAGTTTTAAAACTATCAAAACTGTAAGAACTATAACATACTATGTTAAATTAAAACCGGATTTTTTTCTTTATAAAACCCCGCAGCAGGTGGGGTTTCCGTACTTTAGACATAAATTAAAGAGTAGACTCCTCTTTAACTTTCTCTCATGAATAGAGTACCTCTTTACTCTTTACCTGTCTACTCTTTAATATAAGCTTAAGATCAGCACTTTGAGAACGACTAATTCCTCTGGAATCTGCTGTAATTGAAAATGGTTACTTTCTGTACGGAGTGATGCAAAGTTCACACGTGTTTGTATCACCACAAAGTGTTCATGTTGGCTTGCTGTTTGTCTGTGCAAGGGACACGATCATGATACAGTCAGGACCGAAGCAGCTAGAGTTTGGTCATGTGTGTGAAAATCCTCATGAGTGGGAGCAGAGATACGAGCGACAGGACCAGGACAAGAAGAGATACCAGGGGAAGGTGCGGCTCTAGCATGGAGCATGGAGCATGAATAATGGACTGAGCATGAAGCATGGATAAGGCAATGCAATGCTTCTGTGCTTCTCGTGATAGGGAACCGATATCTTACAATTGTGCCATTCCATTTTGCTACTTTCTTTATAATTCATTGTCTGAAACTTTGGTGCAGTGGAACTATGCTTACAATACGTTATGGAACAGTTACCATCTATAAGGCAACTTGGCTTAAAACATGTTTATGACAATTTGTCATGGGGATGCGCACAAAGTAAAATATAACATAAGAAACTTAAAAGGGTAAAAACTGTGAACTTCAGTACAGTATCTCCAAGATAGCTTCTCTATCTAGCTACGGTAGGTTTCAACTATTCATACCTGTGGATAGAAAATACTAGTGCATGGACTGCGTCATTTATGGGATGTATTACTACACAAATTATGGATATTATTTTGTTGTTTTGAACAGTCTAATTAATTCTTTCTCTAAAAGATTTAAAGAGCTGGCTGATGTGCTAATCTTCTTAGTCTATATCTATGCTCTAAACTTCCAGAACATAAAGTTACTTAAAACGCTTTTCATTCTCACCTAAAACAACTGACTCGTGAAACACTATTGATATGGGTTGATAGACATCCAAGTATTTACTATCATTTAATTCCTTTCAATTATTTTTGACAACAAAACTTGGTACTTTCCTGTTAAAGGGAACATTCATTATTATCGATGATTTATTTTCGATATATCGATCTTTTTGTTTTACTTCACGATTGGTATTCCTTCTGTTTTAATGTCGCATTTAAATTACAAATTAAGAACTAACCTTGTCTAGGCAAAAATAATACCCTATATATTGGATTAGGACATGAAACTATTCTAAACTAACCTAACATAACTAACCAAACTTGCTGTATAGGCTAAGTTACCGTTTAAAAATTCCATTTGATAACAGAAGAGAAAAGGCATACTGGGAATAGGCTATCAAACGGATTTTTGAAATGTTACAGCAAGTTTGGTTGGTTAAGTTAGTTTAGAACAGTTTCATTTCAATATAGGCTAATATTTTTTTTAATTGTTTGTTGATACTGAACAATATTTATTTACTTTATCCTATATCGTACTTGTCAGCTGATATGTTTCAATTTGTTACTATCAATATATCGGATGGAAAACAAAACTATCGATACATCAAAAATAAATCATCGATAATAATGAATGTTCCCTTTAACAGGAAAGTACCCAAAACTTAATTTTATAATTCGTAAACTAATTAGGGAAAACGATCTGCCAATGTCGTCTTAAATTCACACATAAAATTTCTTCCCTTTTCTGTTATATTAATACATACTACTTTTACGATGTTTTACAAGCAAAAGGTTACAAGTTAATAATAGGATTACAAATAATAAATACGCAAAAATAATTTTAAAGCTCCCAGTTCACTATTCAAGTCGTTAGGAAACATTTCTCGTAGGTTCAGTTACAGTACAACTTAAACGGCTAGCCCTTGAAACTGGGAAACAAAAATTAGACATCTAATGACAACACACTCAAACAACTCGGGATAATAACAATGATCTCTTGTCTTTCCCTCCTTGCATTTCGCTGCTGACCAGCTGTTGACCAACGGACGTTTACCATTTACCCTCCTTCATTTTCTACTTGCTCTTCCTCATGCTTGCCGCATGTGCATGTCTAGGTACCAGCATGTGCCTCATAAGGATCATTATGAGTTTGGCTACAGGAGGGGAAATGATCACCACTTCAAAGAGAGGTACGAGAAAGCTCATCCTCACCAAGGACATTTCAAGACTAAAGTAAGATTTATTTTGTTAAGATTGCTCTTATACTAGTTTTGTTTGGTAGTGATATGAATTTTTATGTTGAGGTTAGGCTATTAATTTTCACTGAATACACTGAGTGAACATTTTAGATGTTGCTTCTGCAAACATGAACACTTGAATGAATAATTTTTATGGTGAGGTAGCCTCTGGATCACTAAAAGATAATCTCTCCAAAAACTCGACATTGCCAAAAGATACACAAATGGAACTCATCGAACTCACTGAGATTGTCCTGAAACAAAATTATTTTGTTTTCGAAAACAAGTTTTACAAACAAAACGAAGGCATGGCAATGGGGTCCCCGTTATCGAGCATCTTAACAGAATTAATTTTAAACAAGATTGAAAATGATCATCTGTGGTCTGATCGTAACAAACACAGAGACAAAATCATGTTTTACTTCCGTTATGTAGATGATACGATAGTATTTTTTAGACAGGACAGGAGAGGGACATTACGTCATCCACTGGACTTGGACATGCAGTCATGACTCATCTTCCGGCGTCACCACACGTGTCCCCCGTGATTAATTACACTGGCCAGTTTTTTATAGAATTATATTCGTTTTCTGTGTTTTTCGTGTTCGTGTATGTGTTTTGTAACGACGAATCTAACCAAATTGGTTAGATGACCTATTGACGTTTTTGTTAACCTGAAGATGGACTTATTTTCAAGTCCGAAACTATAGTAGTGTAATACTGAAGTAGGATCACTTGATGAAGCCAGGTAACTTAAACCATTTAGAATTATTTTTAATATATAGAAAACCCTTCCGATCTGTTTGGTGGGGTTTTTGCAGTCAATAGCCTGAATGTTGGTTTTTAAATGTTCAAAATATTAATTTTTGTTTCAATTACAAACAGGCAAGATGGGGAGACAAGCACGGAGGCTATGGAGAACATTACTGGGACTACAACCACGGAGGACATCATGTGAGTAACAAGAAGTTTTCTCTTTTCTCGCAAAATGTTCTTGGAAATAGCAACTTATGTGAAAAATTATTGTATCAACACGTAACACAGATATGAAATTGATTAGAAAGATTAATGGATTAATTAAGATTGATTGACCAACAATAAAGGTGGACTATTCCATTACTATTTGATGTGAAAAGTGTATCACAAACAGAATGTCCAACTGCAGATCTGCAACCGTATTCTTCATCGAAAATTACAGTATCATAATGCTTGTTACATATTACCAACCATTGACTATTGAATATCTTAATAGTTTTTAATCATGTGTTTATTCAGTCAGGTAGAATCAAGTTACAACTGTAAAACTTTTTCTTTACAGGGTGATGAAGAAGCTTCAGAAGACGAAGGTGGCGATGTGAGTAAAAATTAGAGTAAATTCAAGGTTATTTATATAACTAAAACAGTCCTTGTTCAACCTCCGGCCTCCATTGCTTTACTCTATTTCACACTGACTGAACAGTATGTACTGTCTATAAGACATATTTTTCAAAAGGCAGTATCAAAGACATTAGTTGCCCTAAAAACATAAGAACCCGCGAATCAATCTTGAACCTTTTACCTTTTTGTGAAGATTTTAGTACGATACTAATTTCAACCATACCATAGTCAAAGAATTTAGCCAAAATACCATAAATAAAATTTGTAGTCACTGAAATAATAATATACTTCGACGTCTTAACCTGGACATGAAGTCTAGACATTCAGGCCTTGCTATCCGTTGCCGAGTCATATTCACTATTTAACGCATCCCAAGATCACGTAAAATACGTTTACATCACTTCACATTCAGTTTACCCTGTTACACAGTTAGTCACCTATGTTACGTGATGTCACGTCGTGTGTGGCACGTGTCACGTAATCCTTCACCGTTTCACAAACTATTACCACAACAATACAGGCGGTGACAAAAGCTGGCATTAAAAGTGAATTAAGGCGATAACATATGAGTCATATGGTATTTTACAGTGAAAGTAGGATCTAAAGTAGCCAAAGGTTTTGATGATTTGTTGTGATTTAAGTATTTGTCTGATTAATTTCATTTTAAATCAATGATAGAATTAACAATACACAGTGAGCTACGGTTGACAGGACCAAGAGAATGTACCTGACAATCTAATCATGAATGCATTAATGTTTGGTAATCTGTATGCATACCATGAGATATACTTTAAAATCTTATACAATTTTGCTCCTATGTGCATGTTAATCTTGTAAACGAATTACAATTCCATAGATTGTTAATTTCTTGATAGCAGTTGGGTTATCTGATGTTGGGTCATTGTGTTAACATCATATGCCAAGAGTATTTTAGTCAAGTTTAACATTCATTATAGATGCTTTCCTTAACAATTGTACAACCTCTTATAAAATGAAATTCGTTATTTTTTCAGGAAACCCATCCAGTCCCTGACTACCAGCAACTGAGGGACGGTCAAGATGAGAGGGTAAAGAGAGAGCATGAGGGGCGAAGACCTAGCGACTCCTCAGAAAACTTGGATTATTCTCAAGAGACCTTGAACTCCCCGAGAACCTCTGGGTCCACTATCAGTCCCTTGGACCATCAGGGGCTCAGCCTAGCATACGACGTGGAGAGTGGCACTGTAGTGGACGAGGCTACAGGCAGGAGGTTTATGTTGACTCCCATCAACTGATACTTCAGCATCAGTCATCAGTCAGAATCATCAGGGTTATTTGAATCATCATAATTAACAACTACCAATATACTATAACTGTTACTGGCGTTACTCAGTATTAAAACGGAATGCAAAAATGTCAGCAATGCAATTACATGACACTGTTAAATATCAACATACTAAAAAAATTAGACACTAAAATTAATACACAAAAAATCAAGGAAAAGAAAAAGCAGTGTTCCATTCTATCATCGTATATCGATGCCATGGGTCAGAATCACTGTAACTATTGGTATCAGCATACTAATAGTTAATTTCTTATTGGACATGTACGTGTACACAAAATACCATAATGTGATTTCTTATAATGAGTACATATCTGTTTGGAAATTAACTGCATGTGATGCAAAAAAAACGTGACGCTTGAAAATTTATATTTAGTTTAGGTATTAAGGATTTTGTTTCATACTACTACTGGTGGTTAAAGGGGAGATCCTGTTAAAGTTTGGAAAGGTAATAGATCTGTTATACGACTATTTACTACAGCATATTAAAACGGTGACAGCGATTTGTTACTTACTGTTATATGTATAGTCTTATACAAATGTGTATTTAATGATAGATATTATTGCTCCTTTTGTACATAAAAAAAAACTTGGAATATAACCAAATCTTGTTATTTTACCTTCCTTATTATGTAAAAACATCCATAGTGTGGAACCAGCAATTGTATATACACACATATATATAAGTGAAATATACATAAATATGTGACTTCAGAATATTTGGATAGTCATAATAAGAAAGTATAATCACAAATAAACTAATATCTTTCAGTAATATATTTCAATGTCAATAATAGTCCAATAATATATTACTTTTATATGATTATATGATCCAAGTCAGTGCCTTCACGTCACCAATGTCTATTTTATTCTTAACTTTGAAGTATAGCTTCGTATTTTGTAGACAACCCGGTTTAAATAGAAGCTTTCAAAATAATTTTAAATGTTATTTGTTTGAAACAATTAATGCTATTGAGAGTAATAATATTCGTGAGAGTCCAGTCATCTATTGTTGTACCTTTACAATTACCTTGTTTTTCCGTTTGCAAAAAAAAAATATGTTTACCCAAAACTAGACACTGTATAACATTATTATCAAATATATAAACTAAACAATTCATCAATGACAACCAATTCTAAGGCCCGTCTAGGAAAGGTCTGTGAGAATATCGGGTTGATTAGCATACAGAAGTGGTCAGTTCCGAGCAGAACAGGTACAGAGAATCGTTATTCTGGACTAGTTTGGTTAAATAGTGGAAGTTGTTACCGGAAGTGTTAGATTGTCAAGCTCGGTTAAGGTCAAGGGTCAAGGGAGATGAGGAGTCTCGAACTTCCTGTTGGACGAGTTAAAGGGTTGAAACAGAGAAAGTCTTGTTTGGGAACATGAGAAGAGCAGGGGTGAAATAAACGTGTGTTAAGTAGTGGATGAGAAATTAGGTTTGTAAGGTTTTTTGGTACTTTCCTGTTAAAGGGAACATTCATTATCATCGATGATTTTTTTCTCGATACATCGATATTAACAAATTGAAACATATCAGCTGACAACTACGATAAATATTGTTCAGTATATTATGAAACTGTTCTAAAAAAAATAACCTAACATAACTAACCAAACTTGCTGTAACATTTAAAAATTCCGTGTTCAACTTGCCTTTTCTATTATCAAACCCAAACGGAAGTTTTAAATGGTACAGCAAGTTTGGTTGGGTATGTTAGGTTAGCTTAGAAGAACAGTTTCATTTCTTAATCTATATAGACTATTTTAGCCTAAACAAGATCAGTTAGTTGTTGTTGTCAATTTGTAATAGATCTGATCGGAAACAAAAATATCGATATATCGAAAAAAATCATCGATAATAATGAATGTTCCCTTTAACAGGAAAGTACCGGTTTTTTAACCGAAGACTGGTGTTCTAGCTCTCATTTTTTTTAGAATAATGAACATTTTGCATGGTTAAACAGAATGAGAACATAAACTAATATCAGAAATTGGTAGGCTATTTTAAACTGGTTCAGTTCAGTAACTAAAACCATAGATAAATCATACTCCCTTAAAACATACTGTATATATTTTTTTATAATTTACTTTATGTCTATTATTTTTATATAAAGAGATAGTTTTGCAAGCAAAGTAAGCCCTTGGGTCCATAGTTGAATCTGCCAAGTAATTCCAATATTGACACTCCATCTTCAGTTTGCTATACCCGCAGTTTTAGTGAAGAAAGTATAATTTAACCCTTACGTTACCTGTATAAACGAAAAACTATTTATGTCATTTCACTTTTTAATTTAAAAAGGTATTTTAACATACGAGGGTACAAGACAACTCGTCTTATCATTTTCTTGGTGTCTAGTAGATTGTGTTAATTGAACGAAAATTAATGGTTGTTAGAAATTGTAGTATAAAGCAAATAAAAGTCCAACTTCACTATCAAATCCAGCAGGTGTGTATGGAACTGCATAGTTTACCACGAACGAATGCTGTTATAAGACGGAAAGTGAAAACTACGTCTAGAGATAATCTACGTCTGTAATTAGCACGCACTTCAATGTAGGTGGTCTGGTCTTGTAGATTCTACCTAATTGTAATTGTTCGTATTAATTAGTTTGGTTTGATAAGGAATATTTTAAGGAAACAGTATGGGAGGAGGGCAAGCCATGGCTTGGTGTAATCAATGTTTTGCTCTGGGATCATGTTACAATTGTTAGGTATGCATTTTTTATAGTTTACATAATTTGGACAGCTGTATTCATAATAAATTGAAATTCCACTAGAAATAAAAAATGAAAGCCAAAATGTTTTGGTTAGTCTATGGTATAGTTTATTTCGATTGTAAAATCAATATAAAGGAAACTCAAGTTTTTTACAACTCATTAAATACACAAAAGCTTATCACCTAAATACGTATGTTATAACTAGTTTAACATATTTTGCTACCTTCTTGTATACAGGGCGTAGGAAATTTTTAAAGGAAAAGATTTTACTGTTGATCCTCTAACATTGTTAATCATTCTTATTCAAAATTTAACGTAGAACACTAAAATGACATAATCTACTCTACTGTTACTAACTAACTATATATAATTTTAAAGCTTAAATTATGTACTGCAAATTTCAAAAACATTGTATCGTGTGACCTCATATAAAAAATCTACAAGGAAAAGTGTCATAAAATTAATCCGTAAAAATATTATTTTTTTTTATGTTTTTGTAATTTTTTGTCGAAACTATGCATATTTTGGCTAACATGGTAAATAAACGTTTTCTAGAAAATCTTATCACAAAAGGTATTAACAATTTAGACGGCATTGTTATCTTTCCGTTTTAAAGTTATAGCAAAGTTTCTAAGAGACTCTCATTTTATCTTAAAATGGGGTTGAGAGGAAAGCATGAGAGGAGGAGTTCGGGAACTTTTGGGGAAATGCTCATCTCAACATGGTCTAACAGCATAGAAAAATCCAGCTTTCCCAGAATTACTTCCGACAAAAAACATATTGACTCTTGCTAATACAGCCTGAAATACTATTGTAACGTAAGTTTAAACTTCCTGAAAATTCCAATATCGTTTAACGTAAAATCATGAAAGTCCCGTGATGTCCTTGACCTACATGTTACTCTTGGCAATTACATGTGAGGTAATAATGTTCACAGCGCTTTGGAGAACAATGATCCGTGAAAGGTGTATAATTGTTTGTTGCGTAGTTGCTGAGTGAAAGCATTGTGTTTCTATGAGCAGCAATATTAAGGAGACAGGCGACAGAGTGTTTCATATGAAACTTTTTATTCTGCAAATGTAACAAATCAAACAAATTCGTGAATTCAACAAACAACTATTTTGGAAAGACTGCGTAACTGATCTACAGCGTGTGTTCTGTTGTCATCGTTAAACTGTGACTAATTAGACATTTTGGTTCCAAGCAAAACATTATTAGTTGGTATTAGTTTAAATCGTAGTTGAACTTGTCTCTTATTGATCATTATAACGTGTCATTTAAAGTCACGTCTCCTTCATAACACCTAATTTTGTTGCTTTCTGGCATAATTTGGAATTTTATAGGTTTTAAGTGCCCAGCGGTCGAGTGCAGTATTTCGAATACGCGCGCACGCAATTTAACATGCGCCAAACCCCAAGATGACTATGTGAAGTTTGTAATCAAGTGCACAACACACAAAATCTCACAAATGTTTGTCGATTTTGGCAGACTGGTAATTGTCAGCTTAATATTAAGATTTGTGGGATTAAGAGCCAATTTTTTATGGATTTCCTTTTACTATCATCCGTTACTCTGCTCTAAGGCAATCCCTAAATATCTATCTATTGCTTAGGAAATGTCCTTATTGTTCCCCACTTACATTCCTCGCATTGAAGTAATCATTCTGCATTGTTCAACCAACACGTCTGCTGTTCATAAATGTGTCGTTGCTAGTGTCAACTTGAGTGGGGAGCGGGATGCAATATGCATACGCAAAATAAACCTACCCCCACCTCCGCTCTGTTGTTTTGTTACATCCATCTCAACTATTAATTTAATTTAAAACCACTAGCATCTGAAGGTACGACTCCGGGGAGCGAGCTGTTATAGTGGTTAGACTGTACTTCGGTCCCTGGGGTCCCGGGTTCAAATCCCGCCAAATCACCAATGGATTTTATCTAAGTGATGATGCCGCAACCCCTAGGTTTAGCCTGAAGTAATGTGAAAAACAATCCCAGGCTCGTGCTTTGCGTCTTAGGACAAAAAAAGGTACGACTCCGTGCTGTAGGGAGTGTACCCTCACTACACGTAATCCTAAATGATACTACATCTCCCCAAGCTCAATGGTCATTCACGTGTTCCTCAATACTGCAATATCACTCGTGTTGGATTTTACACGTGTTACCTAATGCTCTGATCATACACGTATTATCCGATGTTGACTGCTCAGTGGCCATATCCGGCCTACATCGCAGCCCAAACAAAGGTCTACGATGAAAGCGACTCTCTCGTCATGCACAGCAGCCCCGCTACAAAAACCTCTGTGGCTAGGCTAGGGAGGGCGGCGCACGCAGGTGTATAAAGTGGCGCCGCCGACACTTCTCTCTGTACAACATGGAGTCCCTGCGTAAGGTAAGTACCCTGTAGCACGGTGTTTAGGTTCGCTTCAAGGGTATTTAGGTTTTTTTTTCAAAATTGTTAATAGGACTTCTCTATTTTTGTATTAGGAAAAAGTATTTTTTAATAGTAAAAATAAAATAAGAGAAATCCAAATTCAATAGGCTAATAGCATAATTTTCTTCAGTAATGAGTGGAATGTAAAAATAACGTATTTAATTGGATTGTCCAAGAAGTATTTTGTAAAGCAGAAATTTCGAATCAACATAGTTTGGTATGTGTATGTTAAACATAGTGCTTTCTTTTTTTATCCGTCTAAAGTCCTCCAAACTGTATAATGAACGCATTTTGTTAGAACACTTTAATTAAGGACCAAAAACTAATATTTACAACAGCACATCGGCCAAGCCACTAAAGAAGTAACTACACTCCATTTCCATTAAAGAATAATGTATAAAACCTATCATGTATTTAAATCATATTTCACACTTCCAATTAATTTGTTGTTGATCATAATATTTGTAACTGGATTTATTGTACCACTGTTTAGTCCTAGTCTGAATAAACATGCCGCCATGGCAGAATATTACCAAAACAAATAAGGATCGAACAGTTTTGAGCCTTATGATAAACTACGCTTTTTTGATAGTATTACGCAAATACATCATATTTTCTCACAATCAAAATGACATTTTGTTACTTAAATACTTTGTTTTCAAAAAGGTTTCTATTAGACCTAATCACAGTGCTATCTCGATCAAATGACCCTCGATGACAAAGTCACCCTTGATAATAGGTGACATTTTCAAATACTCTTGATTTTACTCCTCTAATCATATGTTATTGAAAAACTTGAATTAAAGTCAACCTTGATAAAAATTCTTATTTAATAATCCCCATTAAAGGCTTGTTATCGAAGTTCGGCCGTATTTTTTTTTTTTTTTTTTTTTTTTTTTTTTTACCAACTGCTATTACAAAGGTATCCGGGTAGTTTATTTATTTAATATTGTATGTACGTTGTCAAATTAAACAGTATTATCACTGTATATAACAACAGTATAATCATCTTTGTATTTTCTGTATGTATATTAAACTAAATATTACGATTGGTATACCAACCCTTATTGTCACACTCGGTCGCAAAAAGAAAATTACAACAGTTAAACATTACATTGACTTTTAAATAATATCTATGTGCACAATTCAGATTGCTGCTCGCAATATGGAGCGGAGCTAACATATTAATCTACTAAGGGCAAAATTTACAAAATTAACCATCATTATTCTGTAGCCCCTCATAACTAAAAAGAATGCCGCAAACCGATTTCAAATATATCAAAAGTTAATAAGTTAAGAGGAGTGCAAGTTACTTTTCAGCCACCCTCATGGTTATTGGGATTTGAAACGTTTTAGGGGTTTTGTTATTAGTAGTCTGATTTTGGTTTTCTTTATGTCAATTGTTTAGTTTTGTTAAGACATGTAAAATGACACCAAACTCGACTATACATCATATTTGAAATTTATAAGCTACCTAAATTTACCTACCTACGCTAACCCTAGGGCAACATTTTCAAAACTAGCCAACATTTTTGTATCCCATCATATTTAAGAAGGTTGCCATAAACAGATTTCTAATATCTCAAAAGGTTCAAAAGTTAAGGAGGGTGCAAGTTATTTTTCAGCCACCCTGTATAGTTCACGTAAATGAGATGTATATCCAAAGTCACTGCTACATCTAGTTAACGTAAATAGGACGTATACTTGCGGTATCATAAGTCAATGATACAGGGTAACTGAAAAGTAACTTGCACCCCCCTTAACTTTTCAACTTTTTGAGATATTTTAAATCACTTTGTAGCAACCTTCTTAGATATGGAGGGCTACAATAATGATGGTTATTTTTTAAAGTTTTGCTTTTATGGATAGCATTGGTAGGGTGTACTCAAAATTTCCAAAGGGAAGTATAGTCGAGTTTGTTTACATTTTACATGTCTTGACAAAACTAAACATTCGACACAAAGAAAATCAAAATTCAACCACTATTAACAAAATGGCAGCTCAAAATTATTAATACACTGATAAATAAAAGTAGCTCTTAATTGTCATTTTGTTATTAGTATTCCGATTTCTATTTTCTTTATGTTAATTGTTTAGTTTTGTCAAGACCTGTAAAATGATACCAAACTCCACCATACTTTCAGTTTTACCATAAATGGTAAAAACCAAAATTGTATTTTAAGTAGTTACAGACTCGTGGATTTTAAAATATTGTTTGATTGGTGAATCTTTTGTATGTATTAATATTGATAGAAACTAATTGAAAATTGCATTTATTAATACATTAACTAATAACGCCAGAAATGTTTGGTAGTAGTAGGCAGGTTTTACCATGGGTTTACGGATGCAGTTTTAAGAATGCAACATAGGTTACCTTTATTTATGAAAACTTTTTTAACCAGATTGAAATTTATTTTCAAACAACTGAAAATAGTAGACCTTTGTTGGTAAACAAACTCGTACCGAGACGGCTTGCTTGAAAATTGCTAAGAAGCTAATCTTAGTATGGTACTTATAATAAGAATTTATAAAAACACTAGGTGAAACCCGTCGAAATCGACGGTTAGGGACCTCCTCGTTTATATGGTCGTGTGGTTTCATTGGCAACAAATAATACAAATGAAATAGCAATGTGACATTTCCAAAGAGAAAAACTTACTGTAAATTGGCTGTTAGGTAAATATTGACGATTACATGCATTGTTAATCAACGTATCTTATAAAGGATAATGTGATCTAGTTTAAAAGGAATATGACCTTTCTGTCAATGACAGTACCTGGTTAAATAGTATTTACTCTTACAGCCAAAATATCGTGTTACTTTTATTAATGTTACCAACCCGGGACACGATCCGTAGTATAGGCTACTGCAAATAATTTGTCAAGATAGGTACCATTTTAGGCAAGGTTTTGTGTTTGGATGTTATTAGACACGATAAGAGGACACTGAACTTCTTCTGCAGATGAATAACTGTTGGAGAAATATAAGCCGAATCATAAAAACACACAATGCGAGTTTGAGCAATTGTAACTATATGAGGAAGTTACATAGTATTTATTAAGCTGCTGCTCAGTGCACTTGAAGAATACATTTTTTAGAGATGAATTAAATTGCTTTTGTTGCTGAGTACCGCTAGTAAACATGCACAACCCTTTTTCGTTAGTCTAATAACATTCAAAGGCTCTAGAGTTCAAGAAAATAACATTGCAAAATACTTCCTTTGGACAATTCAGTAACTTAAAAAAGAACTTTTAGGCCTAATATTGGAATAAATATAAATTTAAAATAAAAACTTCACCAATATTTAAAAAAAATTTCATTTCATGAGGCCTTTTTAATTAAATTAAAATTCTTAAAATACTGGTAAAGTTTTTATTTCAAATTTATAATTCAGTAACTCTTAATAAATGTGTGTTGTTTAAAATACAATTTAAAAATTAACAGCTGTTTCATTAAAAAGTATTATCCACATGGCCAAAATGTAAGCAAATCTGTGGAAGGATCTTTAAAGGCTTCTGGGGCAGAGCCCTAAGCAAATTTACTTAGTTTTTCTTTTGGTAACTCATCTACAGACCAAGACCTTTCTTTAGACACCTCTACCAAGTTTCTACGCCCAGCCGTTCTCTCAAATTAGTGGAGACAAAATTTCCAATTAAATATTTAGATTCCTCCATGTTAATCTTATGGGAGAAAACCCGACTTTGATGGAAGATCCTGCCCAAACTAATAAAGATATCAAAAAACAAAAAAACACTTTGCAAAACTACAGATCAGGGCCATTCTTTTGACATTTTAATCATCAAATTCGGTCCAAAAATGAGGGAGGAGTTCTGTTTACAAAACTCGGCTTAGCGTATTATATATATAGATAGATGTTTTGAACATTTACACTTTTAATTGGCTTAAGGTTTGTTGTGTTTAACAGTTAAATTTTGATAGGCTATTATAAATACCAAATTAACATTACTAAACATACTTCGCCTTCACGTGAAGAAAACCTGTAAAAACTACTAGTATAGCTACCAGAATGCAATTTACAGGAATTTAGATTTCGCCTTCAAACAAGAAAACGCAGATTGCTTAGCAGATATGCGCTGCCCTGGCGTTATAAGTATTACAGGCGTTAGCTATTCTATCGACAATGTACTTAGGCTACTTTATAATCCAAAGATTGCTTTAAAAATTTGTCTATAGTATAAAATATAAAATTATATAGCCGCATCATGGTGGTTCGCAGCCCATCTAGAATAGAACAAATGTCTCTTCAGCAATTTAAAACGTTCTCCCTATTGGGAAAACTTCCTTTCTACACATTATCCTTTACAAAAACTAATGCGTTACTTTATTTGTTTCATATACCATTGGTGATAACAAGCTAACATTTTCATAAATATTGTCTCTTAATTTGTAATTGCCTTATTAGAATCCAATAAGAATTGATCATGCACGATATAATAATTTTGCTATGGAATTAGAACGAATATGAACTGAACCAAGCGTGACCTACCACTAAAAAAGCTAGCAACGGTAGTTATTTCTCCTACAAATACCATAAAACAAATAATTTGGTAAAGAAACGTGCCTTCACGTTGCAAATCTGGAGTGAGACAAAGATAACATTGTCTCATTGAAGATCGAATTGGCCACTTTCGTGCCTTCACGTTGCAAATCTGGAGTGAGACAATGTTAACATTGTCTCACTGATGAGCGGATTGGCCACTTTGCTTTCTCAAATCAGTGAGAGAACATGTACATTGTTAGGTAACTGTAGGAAAATTATATTCGGCCCGTGGTACGAACACTATTTACCACACTCTACAAAATTGAGAATATATATACAATAAATACACACTTATAGTCTACACAATTAAAACTTTACGTTTATGTGTGAAATATATATAGGAATCAGCAAAAATAATAATAAATAGTTGCAAGGCAGCGGTGACAATAAAACAAGTCTATTGCAATGCATATAGAAACTGCTTGTGTATTTAATATTCATTAATGTTTTAAGTGAATAAGCTAACCACTGATTTTTGGCCCTATGGATGTAATAACCTGCTCGGTCCCCAAATGAAGATGACATCTGGCATGGGCAGCAATAAGTAGCGTTCAACCTCCAATTAACGTTTGTAATACAGCTAAACACATCGTAGTGTGACGAAATAGTTACTAGTCCTGAAAATAGGTGTTTACCGGACGAGTGTGGTCGTTCCCGTGCGAGACGAAGTCGAGTACTGGATTACCATACGAGTCCGGTACACACATTTTGGACGAGTTACGTACGATAGTTTACGCCATACTACTAAATCTGTACAAATTCTTATATATGTCCACCAACCAAAGGACTAAAAATCACTAGTCATAACCTCTAAGAGGGGTTATGTTTTTGTTTATAATTACTCACTGCCACCTAAATACAGTATAATCAGCTGATTGGTGTCCGGTAAAACTCATTGTAGTACAGTAGTACGCAATGAAACCCCATTTGAATAAGCTGGCGGCAAACAGCTGTTTTTGGACTAAATACTTGCGTGGGAAGTTCGTCAAAATAGTGTAGTGTGGCGTAAAATGATTTTTCTGTAGTACCATTTAATCCCATAAATTCAAAAGTATTCAGTTTTACCGAAATTACAAGTATGGCAGGGCAATGTTTTAATTCACATCTGATTCATCAATCAGTATCAGCTGATCGGCCGCCCAGTCAGCTGTTAGTTACACAATGTAGTGTCACGATCGCCAGTTATCAAGTATTTACAGCTACGGTAGGGCGATGGTGACGTCACGGTATCGTGGACCCCAACGGCTTATCTATCGACTACCAAACTGTCGTGTCTGGATTATGTCAGCCCAACTTTGAAAGTTAAAACTTCCTTATTTCTTTTTAAATCAGATCTCACTCCATTACGCCCAACCCATGCGCTCGCTAATAGCCAATTTCCAACTAATATTTTAAATAGTGTTTTATGTAATCCTGTAATAGTAAATGTGAAAAAATTAATGTAATGCTGTATTTTCAGATATTTGCCCTTGCAGTTGTGTTATCCGTCGTATGTTCGACATTCGCCAGAGTTTTTGTTTATGATGAAGGCAGAGCTGGTAGTCAGATAGGTAAGTTTTATTTTTAATTATTTACTACTGTATTTACATTTTTAAGCTGTAAACATTTAGTTAGTTTATAATTATGTATGCATCACTTTGTATTATTTGTAACTCACATGTAGTTTAGTATGTGTAGTACTCCTTTGAGCAGGAATTCAGTTGGGAATAGAGTAGTATGGAGTTATAGTAATTTTTAAATGTAAATTATAGATTATCAAGAGGGGGGTTATAGTTTGTTTGAATATTTTAAGCATTTTGGACGGCAACTTGTTTATATGGCTTATATTTTACGTTCACCAACATTCTGTCAAGATTTAAAAAATATTCGTAAACATTTAGTAAAAATATTTTGCATTTGAATTTAAGAATAATTATAAGATATTTATATTGCGTTGATTTTAATATCAAGCCCGAATTTTTGTGTATATTAGTTGTTATAAACTTTGCGTATTATATCTGAAAATAAATAATAATTAATATTCAAATCACACAATGTTAACCAAATTAGTCTTTTGTATCAAAATGTGTATTGTATGGTCTATTATTTTACAAAATTAGGGATACTTGTACAGAAGTACTGTTAAATATCCCCTGTAAATCTTTTACTCAATCCAGTAGTTTTTTAATGATTGATTGGAAAAATTAATTTGCTGAATTTGATACAATAGTTTGAATACATTCATTATAATTTATTGAAAAGCTGAATCCATGATTAAGATAGTTTGACACTTTAGTTTGATTTCTTTATTTCCGTATCACTTCGAATATATTGTCGTATTGGACAATTGACTTTAGAGTAGATTTAGCGTAGAATAGAAGTAGTGCTGGTGTAGACGGTGTTGGTTTCAGCAAGGACAAAACGCCAAGTGTCCAAAGAGTACACCTTCGACCAAAACAACGCTCCAATCCTGGAATGGGAATTGCAGCGAAGTCCAAGAGCTTTGAGGCAGAACGTCCACACGAGGTGGGGGTTGGGGTACGACCCCAGCGACATACTTCGACCTCCAAGTGTAGATAGGCTGGAACCCGCGGAGTCCCAGTATAGGACTCTGAGGGTCCTTAGAAGACCAGAGGTGGAAAATCCTAAAATCATCTACGGAACTGTGAAGCAAGGAGCTGTAGTGAGTAGACCTCAGAGATCCTCGCCGGAAGGATCACCTTCGTCCTATGAGAGAGACAGCAGTCAGGACGAGGAGGAGGATGAGGAAGAAGAGGATGCCGCAGGATACTCCCAGGAAGGACATTCCTACCACCAAGTTCCTGCGAGTATATACAGTTTTGTTAAGACGGATCCTCATGGCAACTTCAAGTGGGGGGTGCACAGAGGTCCACCTACTAGGGGGTAGATGTGAGTATGTGTTGTAGGGTAGTTTATATTTGTTGCACTTGTATTATTGGTTTAAATGGTCAAACTGTATAATGTAAATATGTTGAACAAGTAAAAGTTTGAAGAGCTACAGGTTGGACGTAGTTTTGTATTCAGAATATTATTATTAGCATTTGAGATGGGTTCTCCACCAATGTGAGTATTTTAACCCAAATAAGAGTGAAGGGTGAGTGTAGAATGGAGTGGTATGCTATATCATAAAGTTACAGTTACCGGGGGCATGGTGGGGAATGAAAGAGGCTAGACCAATATTGTCTGATTATTGACAATAAAATATTTTTTTTTAGATCTTGTTATAGCTTCAATTTTAAGCAAATGATTTATAAAATCCACTCTCACAGCTTAACTCTTTTATAATTTTCCTCTATTTTACAAAAAATAAGATACATCAACTTAACAAAGGTACTTTTCTCCTTAAAAGTGTTCACGCTAACAAGCTCATGTTGTATCAACCTATTAATTTATGCATTTTCTATGGAGTCATACCTTTTGAAAAAAGTGAACTTTTGCCCCAAGGAGGAAAAACTATTCTTTTTACTTACCATAGGCTAGGACAAGAGTGGGAAAAATATAACTTTTGTATAGCTGATTTCTTAGGTCCGATTCCAACAACAAGAAAAATAATTGTGAAAGGATGTTGAAATGAATTTACTGTAGAAGTATACATACCGTTTCAATGTTAAAAGTTGTAGTCAGTTTTAGATTGGAAATTATGCTGCTGAATTTAGCCGCCGATAGTGTGCTGGTGTAGATGTATGGTTTCTAGAGGATACGATAGTTTCTTTAAACATGCTCAATTTTCATGTCACAGCAACTATCACAGATAACAAATCGAAAGTAGAAAATAAAAGTTTAAATATTAGAATACTCTATGAGCTCATCTGAGTCCGAAACCCAATTGACATATATCATTGTAGTTCCTGAAGTAGATATTGAAGACAATCGAAGTATATAACTTAAGCCATGTGTAATAAAATTACGGTTAACCTTATCTTCCTTCAGATCAGGCAATGCTAGCGAGCGCCAGGGCGTCCCGCAGCTGGCTTCCTCAGAGTCCCCTAGTCCCACGGGTGCCTCTAAACCGTCGCACCCAGGACACCCAGAACACCCAAGATACCCATGACGCCCAAGGCGCAGAGACGGGTGAGAGATACCGTAGAGACCACCACGAGGGCATCACAGGACCTGTACATACCTTCGTCAAAACTGACAAACACGCACACTTCAAGTGGGGGGTTCGGCACCACGTGGGACATGAGTTTGCCGGATAAAAATATAAATATTTAGTCAATTTAAAAAAGGTTTAAAATGTCTTTGGGATTGTAAGTTTGACAGGGAGTCGTATGGAGTTAAGTATAACATTGTCCTACTTATTTAAGGTAAAAACTGCTTAGGGCTATTTATATAAGGGAAAATTAAAAATAGGGAAAGATTTTTAAAATTTAGTTTCAAGCGGTGGAAAATGTTAAAATTACACATTAATACATATCAGGTTTTAGGTAAGATCGATGTCACTCTAAAAGCTGCAACACAGTATGTTTAAAATGTTTTTGCCCGAGATGACGCTCAGTTATTTGATTAGTAAAACTGTTTTATTGTTGTGGATTTGTTCTATTTGTAGGTTAAATCTATCAACACATAACTATGCAGTTTTCAAAGAAAAACATTACTTTAACGTTCAAGGTTTTGTCTGTGATTCTTAGTTTCTTTATCCCAAAGCTACCCAAATTTTTAAAACGCCCATTTAAAATTTGTTTCTAACTAGCAAAGTAACAACATATGCGCTTTAACTCTTCCAAAACTAGTTAAGGGCGTAATTGTGATTTTGAATCAAAACTAAACAACAAAACTATTGCTAACTTATTGTATTTTTTATTCTGATCTATGTGATCTTTGGCATTTGCATATACATATTTTCAAATACTTGTTATTTGTTTAAAGTTGTTAAATGTTATTTGTTATTGTTTTTATACAATTTGTTAAGCATATCTCTATTACTTTTGTTATTTTGTTTTCCATTCGAAATAAAAAGATTAAATTTTGTTTATATTTTTTAATTTCCCCAATGCTTATAACAAAGATAAATTGTTATCCTTACAGGCTATTCCTTGCATCAGAAATGGGTACCTGTTTCGCTCTGATATTTATCAGGTTTTCAAATGGACGTTTCTCTCAGTGAAAGAATTGATAAAAACTTATCTTCGGATCTATTCCTGCCATTAAAACCTCTCTTCCTTTCTAACAACAGAACCGTCTGCAGTCGTAGACCTCAAGGGTGATTTTCTCAAAGATAAAAGTCCTTTCTCCTGCAGTCGATAGAAGGTGTATATTTTACTGCTAATAGTATCCCGGCTCTATTTCATCCTAGACCATCAATAAAATGTTTGGAAGCCTATCTTTATCAACCAAATAGCGGGTGATATCATTGATGTGCCTTGCTTCATCAATACCAGTGAAATGTACTTAATGCTTTATTATCCATGGTCCAATACTCAATATGTACGCGAGGGGAGACTGCGTTTACACTGCGGTTGCCAAATCTTTTGTCTAGAGTAAAAATAGATTAGTTTTAAAAACAATGTTAATCTTGGTTTGTTGGCTACTCATCACATAAATAAAATTAACTAAAAAAACGTGGAGGTATGTATTTTGAGTTTACATCAAAACCCATCTTCAGCCTCTGGTAACAACATATCAAGTAAAAAAACGGAAAAAACATACCGGAATGAATGTTATAAACAAGATTCATAAAAAAAATACTGACTCCTTCAATTACTATCTCTAATAAAATCCTAGATTTATAAAATGTATGTGGATAAAACGCCTTTCTTGAACTATGTTTGTTTGTGAATGTAGCTTTTGGATGATCCAATTTGTTATAGGCCACGGGTTGAGGCCTAATTAATGTTTGTACTTTTTACTTTGCATTTTAGAAATTCTTTAGTTCGTTTTACTTAAACAAACGAATAACTTCTTGGCTGAAATCAGGTCTAACTGTATACTGTAATAACTTCAGTTCCAATTCGCATGGAGCCAGCTTAGACCTTTTCTAGGAACCCATTTAAGGAAACAGTATAGAAAATTACAATCGAGTTCTAAAGGCCAAGGATACCTTATCAACAGTGGCATTGCTAAACCGAACTTTCCAGGAAACATTTCTTTAAGCTGAAATGGTTGACTTTAAAGTATGATTACGTGAAGTAACACTACTTCTATTGTTCAGTAGTATTTATTTTGCAAACTTTATAATTTTCTTAAACCCTCTAGTTTTTCACATTCTGGAAGTAAGTTGAAACAAAAGACAATTCAAGGTTGGCATTTATAACCTGTACTATCAACTTGACCACCTGAATACTTATAAAAACTTCACACTTTTGTTTGGAATAAAGATAAGAGTGTAACTTAAAAAAAAAAATCTATAAATCTATCCTCAAAAACCTTTTATATCGAGCTAATCTCGAAAATAATGTTTTTATTATTTATTATATACAGTAAATTTATTATATACTTCTACCAGTAGCAACGATTTCATAACTTTCCTCCGGAGAATACCAACACATAATCTGTTTTACCAATGATCTCAAACTTGTCTGCAGTATACTTACATCCGTGTCGTAACACTTCGGCCCAAGTAACCCTTCGACCCAGTAACATTTCGACCCGAGACCCTCAGATGTGGCCTGCGGTCCAACTCCCTACCTTCTCACAAGTAACACTTCGTCCCTAAAAATAATTCACAGGTCTTCCCTATATATTTGGGAGGATAGTACAGTACTAACAACACTTATGAACTAACAAAAGACATTAGACCCACCAAACTGCGTTAGGTTAGTTAAAGTCGAGTTAGGTTAGGTTAGATCAGGTTACTAGTAGGTTGCATAGTATACAGGTCATGGGCCTCTTACTATCTGAACTGCTTTCCTCAACCCTTGTAAATTTTGCGTCGGGCCGAAATGTTACTACATTAGCTTATCATCAACTGTAAAAGCGATTGGGACGAAGTGTTACTGTTTTTCTAAGAAATTTGAGTTTGGCCGAAATGTTACTGGGCCGAAGTGTTACTACACCTACACCCCTACATCAGCTGGTACCAACGATTTAAGACTTGTCCTCTGCTGCAGACCGAGTCGTCGTTCCGCCGACATGGTGAAAGCAACGGGAATTCCTTATCTGCCCTTGAACTAACTGAAGGAAAGGGAAAGGGTGCGAGGGAGTAACGCTGTTACGGTTACAGACAGCCAGACGTTACATAAATCGTGTAAAAGTCGAGGTTGGAATTTGGGCACGAGACATGGTACGACCTCACGTGACATGGGCCGACTCGTGTTAACCATGCTTTGGCGGTCGAGTGGGACTTCTGGTACTTCGTAAGTGTCGACCTATGATACTGGAACAGTTTAGTATGTAACAGGCAAAGTGGCCAGGTCATATTAGTTGAGTATCGTTATCTCTCCTGAATAGAAATAAAAGAAAATATCAGAACAACCAATGTAGTATCGGGCTTTGATCTCTAGAAAAAAAATATATTGCTGAAATTTATTCAAGCAGCTTAAATCGCATCGTGTTTGGAAGGAAAGAAAGTAAAACTATGAATTGGTAGAACTTTAACTATTTTCCAAACATAGTTTTTATTTTCTATTTCAAGGAGGCTACGAATATAACCCTAGATAAGTTTTAAAACTGAGGTGTGATATATTGTCGAGGACAGTCTTCGAAGACCAATATCTGTATTACGAGTTAGTGGTTTGTACATCACTTAGTTTGGGGTGTTGTATGATTAAAATAGACACTCAGTGCTAGTGATTTTTCCCCTGATACGTATTAAATTGTAGGGAAGAAATAATCTAAAAAAGTTTGTATGTAAAAATTTATTTTCAATATTTTAAAATTGTATCCCCTTTCCTGTCATGAGCTCGTTGAAACATGAAGGTAAACAATTGGCAAAAGTCAGAAAGACAGTCTTTTTTAATCATGGTTCACCATATTTTATCACAAATGTTTTCTCAGTATAAAATTAAGCACAATTAGTGTATTAATGCTCTTATTTCTATACTTTATTTCTCGATTACTTCATATCCTGTTGGATATGTTCTTTAAAGGTATAACGTATCGGAGGATATCGTTATACAACGTAACCTTTAGTATAAACCTAACACAGTTGGATTAAGAAACCCCGTTAAGTATAACATACGATACATTTAATCTCGTGAACCGTTTTCTGATATTCATCATCTTAAATGATTAAACGTATGATAGTAAGTATTACTATCTTTAAAATATATTTTGCAAGAAGCTATGATTCAATCAAGGGATAGCTGGCTAATATTCATTTTAAATACACAGAACCTCTTACTCTAGTTAATTAAATATGCGTGCCTCGAAAGCAAGGTTGTCGGAAAGTTCCGTTTTATAATTATGCTAATCTCTGTACAAGTTTGCCAATCAACCTCACAAGAAAGTGTTTCTATCCGGTGTAGTGATGTGATAGTTATACCTGTTAGTTAGTTATAGCTGTGTACTAGTAGTTATAGTAGTTAGTGCCGCTTCACTTAGTTAAATGCTGTTACGATGTGTGAGGTTTCCGCCAGTGGTTATTAGATTAATTGGAAACATAGCACTTGAGGACTTTCTGCATTCAGACATAGTTGTTTACAAAAATATCAACGATTTGTCTCACGGAGTTTATTTTCTATTGGATTTTCTGTATTGTATTTATTTGTATTTTTATTTTTTTTTATTCCATTATGCAAATTGAAAATTATTTACTAACCGTTTGAAATTATTACAAAATTGGGTTTTTCCAATACCTCATTGCTTTGCAATATCATATTACATCCGTGCCGATTCATTATTCCACGTGTTTTAAAAATTTAAGTTAAGCTGATTCAAACATAAAAACTGTAGTTCTGTTTCCATAAAAATCAACAAACAAAATGTTCCTCAACATGGTAAATTCAAAAGCTCGGGGAATAAGGAGTGGATATGGGGGTTAATTCTATTGATTAGGCAGATAACTTCCCAAAATATAAACACAACAATCTGCCAATGTATTATGTCTATTGGGTGGCAGATACTTCATAAGTTAGCAAG